TGCTGAATGTCTGTGTGAACACTGAGTTTGGAAAGGAAACGCGTGGGTTGTCTATTCTGGGAGCATGATTGTTCAACAGTTCTCCATGCTACAGTCCTGGAAGACTGAGAGAGAGAGAAAACACACATGGGAATTCACCCAGTTCTGTCCTGTCAGTTTAGCTCATCAGCATGACTAGTGTCTTTCTTTTTAAGATGCAATGGGATTTCTGCTGTACTCCTGCTGGAGTTCAGTGGCTTTCATTGGACTCAGTAGTCAGTGTCGCTTGTCTTAGCGAGGAAGAAAGTTGCTGTCATAAAGATTTGCTTCTATTGTAAGTGGAAGCATGTGGTTTGATGCTTGCACCTGCCATTCAGAGTAGGAAGAAACAGGTAGTTTACTGCTTTCTTTTTCCTGGTGAGGAAGAAAAGCATTTAAAACAAACGTTCAGGTATTGGGCTCTAAAACTCTGTCTTTATCAACAGGCGCTGAGTCCTGATGACCGGTATATCTTAACGGCGGATAGAGATGAGAAGATCAGGGTCAGTTTGGCTAAGGCCCCTCATAACATTATATCTTACTGTCTGGGACACAAAGAGTAAGTTTATTGTGTGCAAATCTTCATTGTGCCGAGATGGATGAAGTGCTTGTTTCCCCAAAGCATATTAAGCACCAGCTACATCTGGGTTACAGACTCCAGAGACTGGGGGTTGTTAGTTCAGGATAAAGCCTACCTCAGTCTTCGGAAGGGCAAGTCTTTGTCATTTGAGCAGACTGAACTCTAACAGTATCTTGATGCAAAGCTCAAGCTTGGAGGTACTGTGGTAATAAAAATTAAAAACAGCTGTATCAGTAGGAAGGATGGAGCACTGCCTGCATAGGCATGCAACTGTAATGAGCTAGAGGCCAGAAAGTGATCCCATGAAATAGATTCTAGGACTCACACTTCTTAATGTAGTTTCCTTGTCTTTCTGGTAGCTGAGAAAAAGGGACTTCTGTGTTTTTCCTGAGATTGGTTCTTTTGCTTTGGGCAACAACAGTTAGACAAATAGAAGGATATGTGGAAGATGGATCATAGGAGACATTCCTATGGGAGGATATTGCGGTGGTATGTTATTAAGTCCAGCATGATGCAGGGTTCCCTGTACTTAAGAAGAATGCTTTTTCCTTCTCATTACAGTGATCTGGGGAAGGGAAGGCACCAAAACAATCTGCTAGCTATGCCGATGTGATTCAGATGTGCTCTGACCTGCTGGGAGAGCAGTAGTTGCTTTGGTACAGGAATAGACAATGTCTTCTAGCTAGTACGTTGGTACACCGTTTTTGGTCTATGGGAGGGATTGTGTTTTCCCTTTCCCTCTCAGTAGTCCTCCCGTGAGGAAGGAAAACTCAAATGGCTAATAGACTTTAAAAGATTTTTCCATCCTTATTTTGCTTGCTAAAATGACTGTCAGTTGTGGTATTTTCAAAGTCTTTTGAGTTTATCTTCCATCTATGTTTGTTTTGTGGGCTTTTGGAGAGTTGTTTTTGGGGGGGAGACTTGTGCAGGGGAGGATAGTGCAAGTTTTTTGCTGTGGCCACTGCTGTGTTCTGAGGTCCGTGGTGGCAGGGTAGCAGAGAAGATATGACCCTACATAGGGCAGAGAGCGTGCATAATTCTGCTCGTCTGGCTGCTGGGTTCCCCGAGGATAGCACCGCCCTTCAGGCACGTTCCTTCACAAGATGATGCAACATGGAGCAGTGAACACGCTTTATCAGGGGCAAGGGTTAAAGTAAGACAGTGTGACCGGGGAGCTTGAGATATTGGTAGCAACCCATCCGAAACCTACCCAGCAAGGTGTTTTAATAAAGTATTTAGGACAAAGATTAATCAAATCATTTGGTAGTGCAACCTGGGTAGAGTTGACATAGTTTAAAAGAAGCAGACTTTACGTATTAAAGATCTAAGCAGCCTTTGATCAGATAGGATTCTGTAGCATATTTACACAGCCATGTCTGATCTTTCTGCCTATTGTGTACACACAGTTGTACTTTCTAATGAATACAGAACTTGATGTTCAGAAAAACACTTTTCAACACTTTTCACTTTTCTTGTGCCTACACAAAGAATTCATTAGTGGTTGCACAATGGGAAGGCACTTAGTGTGAATTGGTTGAAATGTATTTAAAAATTCAATATTTAAATAAGGAATAGAATAAGTGAAGGAGTATATAAAGCAGCTGTAATTGTCGGTCTTGTTTTACACTCCTGGATTTTCCTCATTAAATGGGGTGCATGATGATTCTTTTTTAATCTGTTATGGTTGTATGCACCTTATGGACCTACCATTACTGCTTTGTCATGGGAGCTTATATTACAATGACCAAATCTTTTCCTTCCTTTTTTAAATTTTTATTGTTTAATGGCTTTTAAGTTGTGCTCATTTTCGAAAGCAAGACTGTCCACTCAGATAATGTTCTATGTACTAGTCAGGGCATTACATTTTACGTTGCTGAGCTCCAAGTTAATAAGAAATTACAGAAGTTCCGGTCCTCTTACTCCGCGAAAACAAGTCATCGTAGACGTAGAAATATTACACACCTATGAATAGCAAGGTTTCTAGCTGATTATAGACGCTCTTGGTACATTGCTACATGTTTGTTTTAAAACTTCATAAAGATTGCTTTTGAATGATTTCCAGCTGTAATGGAGGAGATGTCGTATTCTGAAGGATGAGTCCTCGCTGATGATGTGTTTTGAAAACAGCTGTTGACAGTTCTTGTTTTTAATGCGCATCACAAATTCAGGAAGGGGAACAAACTACCCAAGTAAATGTATCTCCATTGATAATTTTGGTTTAAGTGGCAAAGCCCTCCGCAGTCAGGAGGGGGTTGGTAGAATTCCGAGAGTACAGGTAGGAAAATATTTTTTCTGTTAACTGGGTCGCTAGTAAGTATAGTGTATATATACTATACTAGGTATGGTGGATATACTTTATCTTCCTCTTAACTAGCTTGATGGGGAGAATCACTTTGTTTAGTTATTATAAGATTCTCTTTTAAAATGGATATGTTCTCTTACTGTGTGTGTTTAAAGACCAAGGTGTCACACAACAGAGTTCAACTTTTGACTACTTTCCCTTTAGGTTTGTAAGCAAAATATTTGTCATACCCAACTATCCAGATCTGCTGTTGTCAGCTTCTGGGGTATGTATTGCAATTGCTTCTAGAAAGTATTTTTTCTTAAAAGTTTAGACTTTAAAACCGTTATCTGCTTGTGCCTCCCTCCAGCTCCCCTGGGACACTGACAATAATTTCCCTTTGGTTTCCAGCTGCCTCCCTCCCTTTCTTTTCACCCTCACTCCCTTTCTCGGCTTTCTGTTCTGTGTTGAGCCATTCTATTGGTAGATCATATAGGAGCGATTTTACTGTGTTTATAACACAGCTATTGTTAACATCTTTGGGATGGAGAAATGAGAAAGTCCTCAATATTTCTTCATCATTAGCTCCTGCTTCAGAGCACAGGCAAACTGTAGTCAATGGACTATATAAAAAAAACCTTTGAAGCAAATTAGTATTACGTCAGCCTGCCATGATAATGAACGTCTTGAGAATTTATGGCCTTTGAATCCTAGATTTTTTTACAGCACTTAAGATGAAAGAACAGTTCACTCTTCACGATCCCACTTGCTTTCCCCATGAGACTCCTTTTGAATTGTGTCCTCATGTGTATATCCCCATAGTGTGTCCAGTGTGTGTTGTGTGAGATTGCAGTGCAGTGCTACACAATGCCTTGGATGACAAGTGAAGAAGTGAGTTTTTCCTCTCCCTCTTCTCCCCATATTATTATTATTATTATTTTCTTAATTGGTGGGCTCCTGCTGTCAGGCCAGAACTGTAAAGATGGAGTTGACCTAACAGAGAAGCACTGTTCTTTATATCTCAGACTACCAGAGCTGCATAGGAAGAAAACATGTTTTCTCTGAAGGCTGTGTTAATTCTTAGCATTTGGTTTCAACTGCTGCTGTTGCTTCCCTGAGGCTGATGTCTCTTGTTCTTCTGTAATTTCTCTCTAAGCATCTCTAGTGTTAGTGTTGTGTGCTTTGTTAGGGCTGTGTTTCATTCTTAGGAAGTTATCTTTTATGACTCTGTTTTTCTAGAAAGGTGTTCAGTTCCTCTCCAGGAGGGTTACTAAATCAAATGAGAGTTTGGTTGGTAATAAGGGTAGGGGAGGAGAAGGGCAACCTGAAGGAATTGCCATTAAAATACTGAGCACGTGTATTATTATTGTACTGTTTGGAAGAGACTTGAAATTCCCTCCTCCAGCTACCCAATTTCCACTTCAAAGGGAAAATTAAAGTTAGCATGATTGAATAATTTAAAATTGAAGGGAAAAGTTACGTTAAGATCTCAAACTGCAGATAAAGCATTTTAATTAACTAAATGGCTATTTAGTGACTTCTGTGGGAAGCTGCTGAGGGAAATGGGGCTTAGCTGAAGGCCACAAGCGGCCTCTTTTTGCCTAAGGCACTGTTAGTAATCAGCCTGTGTCCACTTAAATCTGTCCAGGATTGTACCGTGAGACTTTGGGAGTACAGAAGCGGGAAAGAAGTGTACTGCTGTCATCTAAGCAGTGTCAGTGAGCCTGAGGCAACCAAAACTGACCAGGTATGGCTACATGATAAGCTGTGTGTTATTGCTTTTGCCGTCCTCCTGAACCTTATGACTCCCGATCATGTTTGTTGCGTTTTATATTAGGAGTGCCTCCCTTCACAGAGTGGTTCTGTAAGGCCTAGAAACTGTTAGAATAGCTGAGATTTGGAAAAAGGAAGAAAGTCTCTGAAATTCATTCGTGTCTCACGTGCATTTCTAAAAATGCCAAGCAGTGACTAAAATAAGCTCTTCATGATTCTTCCGAAATATAAATTCTACAAACTGGATAACAAAAATGACTCAGTGTCTTAGTCAGAAAATATTTTCTAAAATTGGAAAGATCTAAAAATTAATTCATGTACAAATATTAAGATAGTAGCTTTAACACTCGAAATTATATCTGAGCAAAAGGCGACTTTGTAATGTTTGTAACCAGTTCCCTGAAAAAGTATTACCCCATGTAATTCCTAGGCTTGTTATTTTGAGTTGTTCTGAAACTTGGCCGTGTCCAAAAGGAAAATGTAGAAGTCGTGTCCACCTAGCTGGTATCAATCTGGGTCCAGCAGGATTGTGGGGGTTAAGACTGGGGGAAGAATTAAAACTGGGGCAAACCTACAAAATTACTTTGCAAGTATAGCCTTCTAGAAACAAGTGGATCAGGGAGTTTCCAAGCCAAAATTTTTAGTCTTTGTGTTTGAATGTAGCTAATGAGTGCTTGCTTGCAAACAGTGTAATTTGATATCCGTTGAATCTGTATCTTCAGTAATGTTGCAAGGTATTTCCTTTGCGGGGCGGGGGGGAAGGGATGATCTTATGTTAAAATACTTCTCTTTCTAGCTTTATAGGACCATTGAGGACTAATAAGTAACTTTACTGTGAACGTAAAAGGAAGAGGAAAGTCACATTATTACTTTTAAAAATGTTAATTGCTGCTTAGACTGGCTTAGCATTTAGTGAGATAGCTTGCACCGAAATTAGTGGTGCTTGATCTCACGCTGAATCTGAACTCCATTGCTGGAAGACAAGTTTGTTCAAAATAATACTGAACTGTATAATGAATCTTGAAGGTAGCATTGGGTAAACTAACAAATATTAGAAAACAAACAGCAACTGATCAAAAGGAAAAGCTTCAACTGTCTTAGAATGCTTTTGAAGTTTTTAGAACATATTTTCAGAATACTTGCCATCTCCTGACACACCTGATAACGTCCCTTCTATCGGTACTCTTTGTATGCTGATGGAGTCTCTCAGTAGAAATTAGATGTGGCTCTCATCTCTAGTTAGCTTCTTTCTTTACTCTCACTGTGAGTAAACAATTACGAAAAGGGAAAGCACACCAAGTGAGCATCAGTTAATCAACTATATTCCTGCAATATTTTGCAGTTCCTCTAGCCATTGGCATGTACTGTGTCTCCTAACGGTCTTTTTGGAAACCTCAGGCTGACCTGTTCCTTGAATCTGCAAAATTCTAGTTCTTACGAATTCTTACAGGCCTTTTAAAGTTCGTCTCCAGTAACACTAGATTTGCATCATGCTTGTGGGGTGCAGAAGACTCAGTTGGCTTCCAGAATTCATACATGTTAGCAGCGATCATGAGGCAGAGTCACAGTGATTACAGACAGATTTAAACCTTAATGCTGTGGAGTGCCAGCTGTGTGCGGTATTGCTACACAGTTGTCAATATGTATTTCTGTCTTACTAGCTCTGCACTGTTTTAAATCGTTGTATGACCATTAATTAAAGTATCATATGACATACTTAATAATCTGCATCCTGGTTCCAGGCAGGATTATCCAAATAGTAATTTTGAGGGATTGTTTCTCCTCTGATGGCTGGCAGGACCAAAAGAAGCCTGTGTTTTTATGGCATTGTCTTCTCTGGCATTTTTCGTGCTGGCTGCGTCCAGTGGTGATAGTTAGCAATCCTGTGCATTCAACTGTATCAAAGGGCAAAGATCGACTTCATGACCTAGTCCGGCATCTATATTCTGGGTGTAAGGGAACAGTCTCTTCAGTTAGCACTTTATAGGTTATAATTTGCATGCTGGGTTCTAATGACTCTGGCAACTAGAGATCACATTAGGATATAAGTTTTTCTTTTACTTCAAGTTGAATTTTATTTTTACCGTTGGTACACACTATGAATGCACTGAGGCTTGAACTGAACAGCTTGGTTCCATTATTATCGTGTTTCATCAGTAATGACAGGACATATGAGCATGTAAATGTGGGTTTGTTTTCATCATCTGCCAAGCAGAATATGTCTGTATTGGGAAATGAGGAGTGTTCTTGAGCAATGTAGTGGGTTTTTTTTTTGTTTTAGCAGAAGGATTGCGGATCCCCCATTCATTTTCCCCCTAGAATAGGAGTAATTCTCTAATTCTGTGGTGCTGTGTAAGTATTTTTCCCCCTTCAGAGCTTTCACCTCATCTGATCTTCTTGACAGCAGAAGCTTGTTTAAAGTCCAGAGCATGAACCGCATAACTCCACTCCAGTGCTTCAATATATTAATTTCTCATAGGGTTGTTACTTCTCACAGATGACATCAAAGTTAGTTTAAAAGTGTTGGCAGGCTGATAACACTGGCACATAAATATTGAATTTGTAAAGAGAGTATCAAGTGAACTTTTGTTCATCACAGGCTTCTCTAGTAGCTTTTCTTTAAGTTCACTATTTTCGTAGGCTTATAGTCAAGATACTATTCTGGGGCTTGCATATACTTCAGTGATCATTAACTTACCCGGTGCAAAGTTAAAGAAAGGAAGGAGCCTGCAAAGAAGATGCCTTTTTCTGTCTCTGTCCAACTGTGAATAACATTTGGTTCAAATCAAAGTCTCCTCCTCCTTCCCCCAGTGAGGGTGGGGGAGAGCTGCTGAATATTTCAGGTTCACAGAAACCCTTTGTCTGTCTGACAAAGCACTGAACTAAGTAGGTGGGTACTTCCTATCACTGCCTTTACGTTGAACGTTTGCCATAAGACGGTCAGAGAGAAGCTTTCTTATTAGAAACAAAAATCACTTTTTTTTTTTTTTTAATACCTTGGCTTGTTTTCTTAAATGTCTAAATAACCCTCTGGTGGTTGACGATAAGAGATATCCGTTCTGCTCCAAAGCTACATTGTAAATGGCTCTGTACTGCAATAGTTAGAGTTAGACGTGTTAGCTGTAGTGACCCTTGCTGATTCAACCCACTCAACCTCATGCTGTCCTGTGTTGGAAACCAAAAGCATTTTTTTATGCCTGTGGAGGAGGCCTGGGTCCCACTGTCAACCATGGAATTACACTTTGTATTTCTACAGCGTAGCTCCATCTGTTCCAAAGAGCTCTTAAGCGTATCTTTCTTTTGATAGTGGCCTTTAGAAAATGTTCTTCTGTGCAAAGAAATGATGAAGTACGTGAGCAAGAAGTACATGCTGCTAGGTGATGTTCTTGCTTGCTTCCCCCTCCTTTTCTTCTCTTGCTGGAGATGCACTGTGTAGCTCATTTTCGGCTTTATTTGTGTTGTTAATTAACTTTCCCACAGTTGGTTCATCTTTTGGTAGTCGTATCGGGTCTTGTGGAAAAAGCATTAGCTTTTTGTATTAAACTTGCTGTCTTGAATGTTTGGAAGCTATGCAGCTTGTTTTGCTTTCCTAGACTGTTTGCAGAATTCCAAAATAAGTCCCCTGACAATGCTGTACATCAGCTGCTAGCTCAAAGGGTAGAATCCTTTGGTTACTCCCAAATTCAGCTGCTTGTGCTGATGAACTAGGGCTTCTGCCCAGTGACAAGTGTCATCTCAGGGAAGGAGGTGAAGGCTGGGAGGGGATAAAAGCAAAGGGGGCTTAATTCTGCCATCAGAGTGACGAGATGACATGTTTTCCCTGCCCTAAAGGGAACGACCCACTGCTTCTCTCATGGGAAGGTTTTATTAGGCAGAAATTATGATGTTATCACTACTTTAGAGCGAGCTTTTTTGCTTTTGCAGTCTCACCTTTCACATTATATAAGACATGTTTTTAAAAAAAAAAAAAAAGCCCCAAGTTCTTAATTCCTGCTCAGGTAGCCTCAAATCAGTTGCTGTGTAGTTCAAGTAGTATGATGTGTCCAGCAAAGACATTTCCCTGACTCTCCCTGAAATAAAACTATATTTCTTCTAAATTAAAAGTGGGTTGTTTTAATGAAGAAAATGTCCTGAGACAGTCTTGCCTTGCTCTTCAGAGAACGTTTCCTGTTGAGCAGTAGACTTCACCCAGATACAGGCCGAAATCTGGTACAACCCAGCAAGGCTATTGGCTGTGCATCGCTGTTCTCTTTTTAACCAAACGTAACGGTTGCTAATGGCTTGTACTTATAAACTCTAAGCTATTGATGTGGTATTCTAGCTGAGCAGGCTTAATGTTGGTATTTTCGCCATAACCATTACAGGAGAGAATTTTTAAAGGTGATGTATTCTCCTTCAGCGTCTATCTGTTAGTTTGTCTATTAAGTGAAGTTCAGCAAAACCTTTACATTTGACCTCTGGATAACCGCGAAGGGAGGAGTGTGGAAAGCTTCATAAAACTACAATCATTGGTACAAAAAATATATTTGACTGCAGTTTAAATATAATTATGTTGCTTAACTTACTATAAATTAAGACATCTGCTAAAATTTAAAGGCTAAGACATGAAATTGAATGTAAATTTTCTGCCTATAGATGATCTCTAATTTATTATAATAATGCCTCTCTTTTTTTTTTTTTTTTCTTTTCCTAATAGAAGTACACTGTGTCAAGAATAGCCTACTGCTGTCAAGGTGGTTATGCCGCCATTATATGCGACTGGTAAGAGTAAATGGAATAATGGCTAAAGTCTCCCAGGTCCTTTGAAGGAGTGAACAGCTTTCACTGTTGGATGTCTTAGCTTTCCTGCAGTCTGAGCTACTTTGTACTCTGGATTTTTGAGTGTCATAGGCATTTCTGTGGCCTTGCAGGAAACGTGTGAGTCCTTATTGTACTTGATCTGAATTCAGAGTTGAGTTATAGCATTAGCTAGCTTAGTTAGCTTTTGCAGAATTTTATGCTGCCTTTTTCTTACGGTAGGAAACAGCCAGGCTAGCAGGAGAGCCCTAACTGGTACTCAGAATAGCTCCTGAAATTGCTGTGCTGGACCAATATAGTCTGGGTTCTGTTTATTCAGGATGCTGTGACACCAGAGCGTGCAAACTTCTGTTGCCATGTTCTGCACCTGTAAAATGTTTAGAACTACAGTGTTACTTCAGTTTAAAACCTTGGAGAGGCTGTGACTCTTGGGTTCAGACGTGGGTGTTTTCATTAGGAAAGAGCACCAGGGAGCAGCAGGGCCAAGAACTGAGAAACCTTACTGTCCAACTCTCAAGGAAATGTCTTGTGGGGATGAATAAACACCCTTCCCTGCTCTTTCCACAGCACCTTAAGCCTGCCAAGAAAGCTGTTTTAGCTTAAAAAAACTTGGCAAGAGGAAAGGGAGAGCCTGCTAGAGCTGCCTGTGTGGTGAAATGGGCGGTCTGTCCCCCTGATGAACTTGCTCTTTGCCAGAGTAAGGAGCCTTAGCTTCTTCCTATCACACGTGCTGCCAGGCAGAGCAGTTCTGTGCACAAGCATCCAAACTAGCTCTGGAAATGGAAGCAGTGTCAGCAGAGGCCTGCACCTGTGTTAGTTAAGCCTGGTAACACACACACTCTGTGTTACGTTTTTATTTCCAGCTCCACAGCCCAGCATTTCCAAACAGTGTTGTCATGTAGACATAGTCGCGCATTCAGAAGGGAGCTGAGGGATCCTGCCTGGCACACTGTAGACCTATGCAAGGGATGTTAGGAAGCTTTGTCTGTAGAGGCCATGTCTGGTAGAGGAAATGGATGCTGACAGGAGAGATGGAGATGACTGGCTTGCCATTGTGGTGCTTGAATCCTGTTCTTTAGCTACTTCAAGATTTCCTATCCCTCCTATCCCCCATCCTCTTCTCCTCTCCTCTGGCATGAAATTCCTTTCTGGTTTTACTTTTACTGGTGCTCCCTCAAGTTAGGCCCTGAAGGCCACTTGTGCTATGAGACAACACTTCTTATGGAAATCCCTAGTTATCCTTGCAAAATCCTGACTGCTCTTTCTTTCATATAACATTTGAAAAGCCATACCTCACATCTGAGGTATCTACAGCTTGTGCCTCAGATCGTGCAAGCAAACTGCACATGGAGTGCTATGGTGTTTTTTGCAATTGTCAATGACTTTGCTTTGACTCTGTTTGGAATTGGAGTGGGTGATTGCAGTTTACTGTGCCAGTGGTGGCTGTAGGTGGGTTTGGTACTTACAGTAATTAAGTCTTTTCTCTCAAAAGTATTCCCACAGTCTACATCTTTCAGCTTGATGCCATTGCCCAGCAGCTAGTTTACAGACAGCAAATCTCTCTGAAACATAAAGGTTGGGACATTGCATTTGAAGAAACAGGAGATTTATGGATTTTACAGGAAGACAGAGAAGCCCCTCTTCTGTTGTACAGACCAGACGATGGACAGTGGAAGGTAGGTATTTTTCTTATGCTAAAATCACGGATTGTTTGCGTCATCTTCAGGCCACAGCAAAAGCGGAAATAAACAACGCTCTGTGAAAGCTAAATGGCACGCTTCTCTGTTTACGTCTTAAGACTGAGACTTAAGTCTTGGATACATCTCATTCTACTTCTGTCACCTGTGTATAATGCAAAGCTACCGGGAGCTTGTTACGATTACTAGTCTCGTCTCTTGAAAAGCTAACGTGGCATAGTGTGATCAAGTGGAGTGACTGTCAGCCATTGCACTCAGTGCTTTAAGCCACTGCCTCTGCTTTGTGTGTGCTATACATAATGATTTTAAAAACACAAAACAACAAAATTCCCTTGTGATTTTTTTTTTCTGAGTTACAAAAAAAAAAAAAAATCCTTCCAATGGATCCTGTGGAGGACAAGGCATTTTGGTAGTGTTAAGATGAAAGTTATTAGCATTGAGAGCAAGGAGTCAAAGTTGAGGGTTGTGCTATCACATATCAGCCTATTAAAAAACTGGAAACTCCCTTGTTATCCTAGCAAGTCCCAAACTAAAAGTGATATAGTTATGAGGTGATTTTAATTTAAACTTTTAAATATGTTCTTTGACCCTTAAGTTGAAGAAGTTCCTTGTGAAATTCCTTTTCCTCACAAATTAGTAAGTAGGAATCAATTTTTTTTTCCCTTCAAGCTGCTGAGCTTCCCCAGCAGAACAGGTGAACTCGGGTCAGGTTTCTGTAGCAGTCCTACAAAGAAGGAGGAGCTTAAGAGATCCTGGGGTTTTATACATACTCTACTTTCAGTGTGCTCATCTGAGAGCTTTTGCCTTTTTCAGTGCACTGTGAAATGTCAGATTTCTTGTTCGTTATGCTCAAAATACCATGCGGTGTTCCTTCTTTTCCCAGCCTGTAACCGATGACAAAGGATTACAGAAGATGTCGAAATATCTTAATGACAACTGGGCAGTGTTTGAAGGTGAGAAATTTGGCATAAAGGCCCTGGAACTGCAATTTTACAGTTGAAGTATAAGGTTTAGGAGTAAGATCAGAGTTCAGGTCAGTTTTACTGGCTGTGGAACTTGCTTAATCTTTCCAGCTTCTTCACTTCCTCTGGGATGTCACCATGATTTGTAGTCCTTCTGTGGAGGTTAGTGCAGATAATAAATTAAAGTGTGTTTAGGTTACTCTTCGCACCAAATGGTGTAGATGTCTAGATCTGAATTACAGCATTAGAACTATTTTACGTAGACACCTTAGTGTAAGGATGTATTAGAAACACCCTGTAGCTGTGCTGCAGAAGTCTGTCTTACTGCCGTGATAGCGAATGTTGTTGTCATCTTGTCTCTCCCCTGGACTTGAAACTACTAGAAGGACAACGGAGGTGGTAGGAATGGAGTAGCTGTGGAAGGAGCAGGTTCACCGTAAAGATGGGCCTTTCAAGTCAATCTTGGTAAGGCAGGTTATATGGAGCCTGATGCGGTGGGAGAGTTTGACCCTGGGTCATCATAGATGAAATCAGTTGGTATCAGGGTTGGTTTTGTCCTTTATTTTTGCCTCAAACCTTGCAGAAAAATAATAAATGATTTATTCATTTGGAAGCAACCTGTGTTTCCAGGGTTATGTACTTAAAATAACACCCAACTTTATTTAGAAGCTGAAATTAGTGGCAGTGTTTTTTACAGGGTAGGGGAAGGATGTGGCATATATTAGTGGATGTCTCGTTATGTATTGAGACTTAATTGAAATCTCTCCCTCCTAGCTGTACTTTGCTGGAAGATTAGGAACCTTCTTAAAAAGGTGGTACATTCACTAGCTCACTCTCAATCTGTCCTTGGAGGTCATACGTAAAGGTGGTTGATTCTCATGGACAGAAGAGTTGCAGGAATGTGCAGTCTAATTTAAAGTCTTCTTAATATCTAGTATTGGATGGTATAGGGTATAGCTGTTATTAAGTTGTGCTTGGTCTTTGAAATCTAAAAGGAAGTCAAGTGCTCCTTTGGAAGGGAGAATGTTTACACGTAGATGGCGCGGATTTGATAGTTATAGCCGAGCAGGTTGTTGAAAGTATGAAATCTTGAGTGAAAATGAACAGCAGAGAAGTAAAAAGAGCAGGCAGGGGAACAGGTTCTGAGCATAATTTGCCAATATAGCAAATTACTATGATCTACTACAACCTGCTGAATCTGCAGCTGGGAAAGGAGGACTGCTTCAATGACATGGTCTATTATTGTTAATTAGAAGGGGGCGCTCACTTGATGAGCACTTATTCCAACTGCATAATTAGTACTTGAAAAGGTGGTTACTTCTCCTACAAGAGGTGATCATTATCTTGCTAAAATCTAGTCTTAATACCTACATCGCCTCATTTTTTTCCCTTTATAAACTTGTTTCACCTGATTGCTGATTCTGTAGGATTTAAGACATGTAGATAATCTTGAAGTAGATATTGAACAGTGACATCCTGCTGTAACTGATCCCAGAAAAGGATTTTGCAAGATTTAGTACAGACTGGTGAAGTAAGGAATAGAATGGATGTGTGAATTGACACCGTGCAGTTTCTCCTAGGGCCAAAGCTGATAAACAGGTTACTCTACTGTGAATGTGAAACTTTCAAAAGTAAAAATGTGCATGTTTCCAAGTGCAGAGAGGAAAGCTTGCTTTGTATGTGTACCAAGAAACAGGGGGATGCTATATGTACGTTATTATGGAGCAGCAAACTTGCTTCAGGACCGTACCCTAGCAAATACTGGATTTCCTTGCATTAAGAGTTTTTGGCAGTGGAAAAAGGTGGGAATACAAAGAGAACTCGAAGCAACTGGCTTTGTCAGATACTCCTCTATCATTTTAAAAACATGGACCTCACCTGCTAGTCTTATTCTGTGTTCTCCACAAAATGATCTGATTGGTTGGCTGTTAAACTCACCTAAACTTAGCCTTGGGGATGCTATGATTAATACTGTGCTAGATTCACAAAAGTGTAGCAAAACTATCCGGGTGAGTGCTTAGAAATGTATGTGTGCTGTTGGAAAGTGTCCCATCACCATGTGTCCTGTACTATTTTGGCCTTATTTCCTAGAGTATTAATTTAAAATAAGTCAGCTAAATACAGTTATGTAACATACACGCTTTGCAGCGGTTAAGTACTGGGGAAAAATACCAACAGGATGTCTAATAAAAAGTTACTACAGCGGTAGTTTTACAAACAGGAGCCTTGAAGTTCTGCAAGTGTGCTCCCACGTGTAAAGGAAGTTGTGTGCCCTGTTTGCTTGAAAGTCAGGTGCCTGCCTCTGTATGAATTTTTTAGCCTGAAAATGGAGGCTAATCCAGCCTGTGTGAATGCAGATGCTTCCAAACACAAACCAGGCTTAAACAATATAAAAGCTGGTGTTTATTAAAGGGGATAGCACCACTGTGAAAGAGTGGAAATCCCACTATACAGAATGCCAATACAGGAGACAAGTGATGAGAGCACCAAGGGAATTAACACTTGTGTTCTTGTTTTGCTGCAATTGCAGGTTTTGTTGGTGCAGAGAGCCACTACAGCAGTCTCTACAAGGCTTCTTTTGATAACATGGCCACCTATCTACAGAGGAAAGAGGAAAGGCTACAGCAGCAGAAAAAGAAAAGAAAGGATCTGCAACATGGTTCTAATGGACAAACAAAAAAAATAAAAACTGAAGAATCATTGCTATGACACCACCTGTTAGCTTGTAACTGTCACCAAACTGAAAGGGACTGACCTTGCCCTGAACTGTTTTTAACTGTAAATTATGGAGGAAGACTTGATTGAAACTTGTATTCAGACTGAGGTTTTTAGGTAGCCTGATATGACAATACCCTTTTTGCAGCAGGTGCTGCATTTACTCTATGCCCGAGCTTCTAACAGCATAAAAATGTTAGCAGTTCAATCTAGGAATCTCTGATGCACGATATATGAATATTGGAGATGGTATTTTCCTTGAAGCAGGATTTCCTTTTTGCCTACTGTGTTCAGGCTTGCTTCTTCAGGTAGAAATGCACTGATTGAAGTTGAAGTAAATTTTAATTTTATTTTTTTTTAAAGGTCTTTTAGCTAATGTAAGTGGTATAACGTAACTGGTTATGGAAAAAGGAATATTGCAAAATTCTTGCTGTATACGAAAAGTTGTAGCTGTTTTTTACCCTATGCTTCAGTTTATATAGTAGGGTTTCTGCCTAGGTTCTGACTGAGTGCTTCTTACTTGTAGCCTATTTTTGCACTCCTTGTAGAAATATATTTTATACATGAGAAAGTAAAAGTAAAAAGTGTCAGTCAACTTTGTGCCGTTGGAAGAAGATCCTTCTAATGCGATATGATCCTAGTGTGTCTGTTAAAATGGTTTGAGAGGCCCGTGAGCAATACTTGGAGTGCGTTCTGCCTCTTTCAACAAGAACTCTTTCATTTTGAAATTAGCCAAGAAACACATCTTTTTGAATAGTTAACAAGCGATCCCATAAGGCTCTTGCTGATGCTTCATCACAAGTCAGAGGATATGTGTTCATCTACCAGCTGCCATTATGTTTGCATGGAATCTAATGTACTTCAGCGAAAACTGTAAAACCAGATGTAGAAATCTTCTGTATGATCCATTAAATATTAAGAATTAGCCTATGAACCATGAATAGTGCTCCAGGTCTCTTTATATAGCTGTCACCTCTGGAATATCCTGGATGCTTAAAGATGTTGCACTCAAAAATTTTTAGTTACGTTACTGCGTAAGACTTTGGGGAGCTGTAGCTTGTTTTGAGAAAATCAGCAGTGAAGTGAAGCAGAACTGCCTGTTTGTATCTGCTCAAAACTATAGGCTTGTCCTTATTGTGGGTTCTGCAGACCCCAAGTCTCTCATGCTGAAGGATTTCAGATGGATTTTCGTGTTCCTTGTTTGGAAGTGCCCCCTAAGGATGGAGTGTGTGTAATACAGAGCCGACCCCTCCAGGGTCTGACTTCTTTCAGTGATTGCTTGTGTATAAGGAGTCTGCTGCCTTGGCAAAGGTCTCTTTGGGCAGAACTTGTGAAGTGTCAAGAGTGGAATCATCTGTTCTGCTTAAAAGTCTCAATTCTGGCAGGGGAAGCCCTGAAGCAAACAAAATGTTAAATGTTGCTACTGCATGTGCTGTTATGCGATGCAAGAATGCAATGCCAAGCCCACAAGCATTGCGGCCTAATGTAGCAATTCAAACACCTCCATCAGCTATCTGTGTATCAGCAGTGTGAAGCATCTTGTTTGGGTACCACTGAATCTAATGTTTCTGGATCACACTTTCAGTGGGGTCTCCCGTACAATAGTGAAGGTGGTGGGTGGGTATATTTGGGCTAGACAAGGAGTTTTACCTGCTCAGGTATGATGGCCGTTTTAATAAAAAAGTCTGCTGAGACTGACAGACCTGATTATGTAATCTGGAGCAAAGATTTTTGAAATGATGTTTTTTTGTTTGTTTTTTATCTTTTGGCTCTGGCTAGCATAGCCAACAGCTGGTAGCAAACAGCTGACCTGGCGGCTTTTGTGCTACAAAAAGTCCTTGCTGTGTCCTCATGGTTAGCAGGTAGTTTCCTGATCATACATTGACTGGTGTATTAGAAATGATTGTTATGCAATAATGAAATGAATATTATGCAATGTGTCATTGTAGTTGTGTACACATGTGATGTCATATAAATGAAGCAAATGCTATGCTTGGCTTAGATTGGGAATACGGTTAAAGGCTTAATCTTAGAGCTCAAATGCAGGCCTGAGGCTCTGCTGTTCAGGTTGCTGAAAACTTGCAGCCTCCCCTTCTCCAGTTGGAGATGTTGAATCAGTAACGGGGCTAAACTACAGGCCGTCCAGTTTCCCAGTGGAAGCTAGGATTAAGAAACCTTGTCTGTAGCTCCAGTCTTCTGAAGGACAGTTGTGCATGTGACACAACTGACTGTATATGGAACGCTAAATACAGCAGTAGTACACTGATGCTGCTTTCTCTCGTATTTGAGAAAGGGTGAGAAACACAATCTGAAACACTTGTTACTTTGAATAATAGGAATGACTTGGAGACTGAGATACGTGTTATACAATGATGATAACTTAAAATTTTTTCTAATTCTTGTATTGATCTAGTATAAGGGTGTCTAAGGAGAGCAGTTGGGGCAGCAATTACGGAAACTCAAACATGAAAGACAGTTGCTTAAACCTGAATCAGTCTCCCTCTGAGGATCCTGATTTACCAAAAGCACCAGAGAAGCATTAAATGTATCCTGGGGCAGGAGATTATTTGTCTGACTCTTTTTGGGATAGGTTTTCCAGGAAGGGCATAGTAAGAAGTAAGGCCTTCTCCTGTCAGCCTTAGGGAAAACTGGAATGTGCCCACGGTTTGTTTTACTGTCTGGGATGACTCTGTTGTAAGTTAATACTCCAGTTGAAGAAGGTTGCCTAATTACAGTTTAACTTCTGAGAGGAGAGGACTGCCGGATCTAAGCCCGAGGCTGTAGCTTCGTATTTGTTCAGGTGACGTGGTCTGGTAGCGCACAGATTCAGTAGGACAAACTTATCAGAAATGGACCATTAATCACGCTCTTTGTGAACTAGGCAGGGCAGAGGATACAAAATGCTAGCGTTTTTGCTGGCTATATTGGTGGATAAATGATAGATGGCCCTGCTGATACGAGCAGGGGTTGATAAGTCAGAGAAAGCTGGTGAACTGCCACATCCTGCTCGCTACTAGGGCTTTCTGCACAACCCTAATTTCTCCTTAGCAGCTTTGATGTTATGTTACAAGTTCAGGTGGATAAACAAAACATTTACTAATACAGAAGGAAAATCTTCTAAGGAGGACACAGGGAACGGCTTACAGTTCGTGGGTTACAGATTTTAGATAGGGCTTCAGCATGAACATTAAAGCTCTTACACTTCTAAAGGATAAGAGACTCATTTGGCAATTCCTATGCCTGTGGGATCCCCCCCCCCCTTTTCTTTTAGCACAGGATAAAACTCAGCAATTTTCTTCACTTGCTGTGAGGTACCCTTGTTATCCTCATCCTGACAGCTGTCCTGCAGGAAACGCAGAATCTTTTCCAGTGCTTGCACTCTGATGTGAGTCACATTGTGTGGTAGTGACATGGGATGTGATATCTGCAGTGATATCTGCCTGATGACCCCCTTTTTTTTCCCCCCTTCAAAAATTTCCTGCCCTTTGTTATTCTGTTTCATCTATCTATTTCTTCTGCACAGCAGTGGTTCTTGACCTGAAGTTGTGAGCCCCTACGTGTCTGTGGGGTGCTCCCAAGGGGTCTGTGAGAAGTGATTAGAAGGAAGGTGTTTATGCAACACTTAAATGCACTGTAGTGTGCCTGTACCTCAAATGGAAAATGGTTAGACACCCCCAAGTATTAAAAAGAGTAAATACGATTGCTAGAGAGTGAAACAATACTTTGCTTCCTGGTATTTGAACTGTTTCTAGTAAACTGATGTTGCTTGTTTCTATTCACTTTCTGAGCTTGAACCAAAGTGTGTATTTGTACCCAGCATAAAAGGGGTATCTCAGCTGGGGTGTAATTTTATAGCAGACCCGTGTGCCCTCGAACCATTGCAATGGGTATTTGTAGGCCATTTAAGCTTACCCCTTTGCTTCTGAGGTCTGATGTACTGATTGTGATTAGCGGGGGTTCTTTGGTCAAATGCCTGCGGTGCTGCACTCGAATACAGACCTCCATCCTATACGGCCTGACGAGGCTCCTGTTTTTGCTGAGAGCACAATTCCTTAGTGAACCCAGTGGGATCTGCTCTAGATGGGCCAGAAAGGGAAGGGGTGGGTGGAAGAACTGATGCTCGTGGAGGGTGATCTCCAAATCCTTTCAAGCTACAGGATTTTGTCTTTGCCCCTAGCCCCAGAGATGGACCCCAGGCTCCTTCTGGTGTATTTGAGAAGCAGCCCCAATCTCGAGTCTTCAGCTGGTTGGATGCTCCTGGCTAGCTCTCGAGGGCGTTTCCTGAGCAGAGGGGAGCTGCTAGGAAACACTGGGAAGCCGAGGGGAATGGCTGCAAGACCTTTGGCTCTCCCCAGCTGGGGAAAGGCGTTTCAGGTATTTCAGAGCCGGGGAAAGGTATTTCAGAGCCATCTGCTTACGACACATATGCCAAGGCCTGCTTTCTGCTGGCGCAGCCCTCGGGGAAGTCCACTGCAGCAGAGGAAGGCTGTGCACCAAGCCAGGAGCTCTGGCTGAGCATTGCCCACCTTGGGGAGCAGGAGCCAGCCCTGCTTGGGGCTCCTGGGTTGTCCTGAGCCTGCTTCTGCTGTAACCTGGGGCCCGGAGGGAAGAAACTCTGGGGGGAGCCAGAGACTGCAGGTGGCGCGGCAGCTGCAAACCTGCGGCTCCCCGTAGAGCTGTTCCTGGAGAGCTGCTCCTCAGGTTTCAGATGGGCACTTGCCTCTAGTAGCCCACTCCCCTTCCTCGCACTGCTGCTCTGTCACCTTTTCTCACAGCAGAGTCCTCTCTTCCCCTTTTCATAGCCCCCTCCCCCCCTTTTTAGAGCTGACCTCTAGCCAATTCCCACCCAAATGTAAGCAAATTGTAGCAGGGCCATGACGTTTGGTCTACCTTATGCTTGTTATGTGGTGTCTCCTTCGCTCCTGCAGTCTCTTTTGGTATTTTATCTAGTGTTTAGGTGTGGTACAAAGCTCCACAATCATTCTTTCACTGTTTCCTAGATACTGTTAGGACGATGCTTCATTTGAAAACTGATTTTCATTACCAGAAGTGACTGCCATTAACTAGTCGGAAGGTGTTACGTGCTGACACTGAGAAGTCTTTAAAAATATTGGTAAGAGAAAAATTGAAGAAATACTGACTTTCATTTCCTCAGCATTTTAAACTTCCTGCATTTTTGCTGAGATGTTACTGAAACCCCTTCAGCATCACATCTTTGAACAGTAACCTTTTATCTGTTCTTGCAGGAAGGAATCCTAATGAAATGTAGCCAAATATCACATTTTACAATACTGCTTATTTTTTTTAACAAAATTTAGGAAAGCACATTTATTCTACACATCTATAAAAGCAAATGTTCCATTATTTAAAAAAAAAAAATCCAGGTACAATAGCCTTGCTTCACATTCAGGCTAATACAAGTTGCCATAGATTTTGATAGGCTCCAAATTCTGCTCCAATTTTCTTTGCTAAAAGATCTTCTATGAAGTGCTTTGATCTGAAAAAGAAAAGCCTTATGGGCTTAACTCTTACCGATTGTCCCCAGTGACATCAATCCTGCTGATGTGGTGTGAACATGGCCAGGATGACTCAGCCTGAGGGTGATAGTTCATGAATGAGAAAAAACAGGCTGGACATGATTTGTCAAAATAGCTGTAGATGCAGAGGTTGGAAAGAAAAAGCATTAGAGAATTGAATGGGTTTAGAGGCCAATAGTCCTTGGCTTTCAATGATTTTGTTCAAGTTATCATGTGTTACTGGAAGGTCCTACAAGAACTGAAGAAAAAACTATAAGTAAAGGCTTTTCCACTCCTGAAATAGATCATTGTTTAATATGCCACATCATTAATTTTTGCTCCATGACCTGCTGCACATCCCCTTCCCTCAGCTAAGTTGAGGTCAGAGTAGAAATTCTGTGGAAAAACCTCTCTCAGATAGGGAGTAACGTGACTGGAGGGAGAGGGAACAGCCAGGAGATAAACCAAGCACTGCGAGGAGATGAAATGTCTCTCACTGGGACTGATCTCCATCCTGCAACTCCAAATAACAATGGCTGGGCTTTTCCCTGGGCTTTTCTCCGCAGCTTTACCCTCCTCTGTGGCTGAGTTGCCTGCCAAGCCGCACCACCGACAGCCAGCAGAAATGCTGGCAGCCCTGCCCAGCGCACAGGAGTGCCTGCCTCACCACGCATTGTGGTTGTGCCAGTTTCATGTGTAATGTGTGACGCTTGGTAAGCCACTGGGTCCCACAGGGCTTGACAGCTAAAATGCCAGCCGAGCTTATCTCCAAATTGAGTTGTATCTGGCTGGGGGTGCCTTGGAAGCTGTGCTACAGCTGTGAGTAACCAGTAACATTGATTGAGGATATGTTTTTAACCTGATGCTTCGTGTTTAAGAAAGGTCACAGCACCAGCAATGTATTTGTTTTTCCTTTTCTAATACTACACAATTTTTTCTTCTCCTCTTTCTCTCAATAGGGATAACAGATGCACTTGCACATGCATGAGAAAGATGTTCCCACTGTCCACATCCACCGTGGCTACCCCATTTTCTAGTTGGTATTTACCACCTTGAGCCTCAATGACTCTTTTAGTAAGAGTTTATTAAAGTTAGTGGTGGGACTGATGCTCATTAGAAATGGAAGTTAGGTACTACTGAACACTTAATTCAAACAGCATGTGATAGCCAGGTGGATATACTCGTTCTAGAGAATCAGCATGAAGTAAATACGAGTAGAAGCAAACATGACA